ATGCATAGACTAATTAATACAAGTAAAATAGAAAGAAATGAACAACAATTTCTTTGGGAGAACGTGAGGCCCATCATAAATTGGCTTGGAACAGAATCTTCCTCCATGTTATTTCTTCAGTCTTATTTTAGAGGTCGTATTTTGTAACTATTACGAGTCATTTCGTTTGAGTTATGATGAAAGATAAATTATATTAAGATATTTTTTTTTATTGAGTGTTTGGTTTGTTATATTTAAAATAATAAATTTTAAGAATAATTTATTTGTTTACGAATCTATCCTTCATAAATGTGAAAAGTGAGGTATAAAAAGAGTTTAAAGGGATAAGTTATCTCGGAATTACTATACCATCCAAAAAGAGGGATTACTAAACTCGGTACTAATTATTAATCGCGGAAGAAGTTATTTCAGACTTGCCAACCAATCAACAAATTAAGTGGTACTATAATTCAATCTCAAGACTATTTACCATTATCCTTCACACCAAACAATCCCTTAAAAACTATTATATTTAATTGAATTAAGAGACTCTAAAAAATTATTTAGTGTGAGATATACAATATAATAATTTTAGGACAAAATATAGAATTATTTTATCCTGTCTTTATTAAGACATTTTTATCCCCAAGAAAATAAGAATCAAAAAGACACATTTGAAGTTCTATAGGACTATATAAAATGTAAAAAGAATGTAGTAATTTTGGGCTCGTTTGGTGTGAGGATTAAAAATAATAGTGATGGAATAAGGAAATAATGAAGGGATAAAAATAATTATGTTGTTTGGTTGTCATGTTTGGGATAAGTTATCCCATATACATGGTGGAATAAGTTATTCCAGAATAGCTAACCCCAAGATAACTTATCCTGAAATAACTTGTTTCCAACCAAACGACCCAGTTCTCAATAGATAGATGCTCTGCTGCTTCCTCTTTTCTCTCTTTTTTTCTTTTTTGGTTTGGGTGTGTGAGAAAAAATAACAGTTATCTAAATGTTTAGTCAAAATTTTAGATTTGAAGATTTGAGCCTTTTAAAGTATAAAATCACATTTATTTAAGAGTGTTATACTTCGAATATGAGATTTTTTATTTTATATACAAATTCAATTTAATTAAATTTTGATAAAAGTATCAGTTATGAAAAAAATTACAACTTGCATTCCCAAAGTCGCAATGCAATGAACATGTGAGATGGCAAATTATTCTATACTTTAAAAAGCACAATAATGAATCTGGATTGTCAACGCTATCGTATTTTCCATCTAACTAAAAAATTTCACCAAAATTTTTACCCATTTTCATTTTCTTTCTTATTAATTTTGAAAGTAAATAAAGTAAAAAAGGAATCTTTTTATCTATCGACATTAAATACAAGTATTTTTAGTTAATTACTACTCCTTCCGTTCAGTTACTTGTTCATTTCTAACTTAGAACATTTCTTAAAAAATAATAATTAGTATGTATATGGGTATATTATAATAATATTTATATTAATTTATATACGTAGCTTATATCCTCGAGAATGAGTAATTAATATTGAGAATAAAACATAAAAAGAAGTTTTTTTTTGTGGACTAAAAACAATAATGTATTCTTAGTATAGTGAACAAATAAAAAGAGATAAGTAAAAATAAAAAATACACTATAACAATAATAATAATTTTTCTCCCCTCTCTCTCTCGCATATATATGGTTCACACTCCTTTAGTTCATTCCTACTTGTTCATTATTCTAAAATCAGATATTCGCTTTAGAAAAACATGAGATAACTTATTACTTAGTTCATAATTTACAACTTATTACTTATTACTTATTAATTATATAATTATTTTGAAATGCATTTTTGCATCATGAAGACGTAAAATAAGTTGAATTTTCGTGGTAAAGAGGTTAAAGTGGAATAAGTATAAAAGAAAGTTGAACAGTTAAAAAGCATGAGAATATGATTAATTCCCTTTTATGAAACAATGACATGACATCAATCAATATACTTTATCGCTATGGATTTCGGTTCATTCATATTTTTTCTTAATTTTCTTCGCCATAATAATAAAAAAAATATCACAGCACATTATTGCAACTTTGAATTTCCTCTCTGCAATTTGGAATATACCCACCCCACATATCATTCAAATAAAGTAATTCGGTGAATATATGTCCATAATTTTTTTTGAAAAAAATTGACACGTAAATTTATTAGTGTTTTCAAATATTTGTTACATAGATAAGTTCATTGAAACATTTTTTCACATGTTCAGCTATGTAATCAAAACATAAGTCTACCATATCATGTATATATATTTTGATTACATATTTTATTAATTATATATGAGAAAAAATAACTTATAATACTTGTAAAATGATGTATATACTTGATGTTTTTACCCTTCGTAATTTACCACTAGCATTTACCTTAGAACTCACAGATAGTACAAAATACTCACTGTATTTGGTGAAACTTAATAAAAGGCAGCAAAAAAGGGTGTACCAGTTCACTTTTCCATTTTTCATAAATTATTACGTATGTTTCCACTGGCTAATAACTATTGGTATTCAATTTGTAACAATTTACTCCCTCTGTCCCTAATTACTTTTCCATTTTTTCTTTTATTGTTGTTCTTAATTACTTAACCATTTTGACAAATCAAGAAAGGACAATTTTTTTTACCTATTATATCCTCAATTAAATGATTAATTACTTTGAAAAATGTAGAACTTTTCATCCACTTCATAATTAATAGGGATAAAATGATAAACTCACTATATCATTAATTTTTTCTTAATTGGTGTGTCAATTCAAAAGTGGACAAGTAATTAGGGATAGAGGAAGTAATATGTTTGGTAGCATATGAAGCCATTTGTAAATACATAAACGTAGTTGTATAATTTTAAGAAAATACGACGCAATCACATTATAAAATGAATATAATATATAAGTATATAACATAACATGAAATTCGATTCACTACTACAATAAAAGGACTTAGAAGTTACTCCCCTTGGCTTCCTCTCCGGCGATGTTCATGCAATAGGTCCTAAATCATTGTACTAATATCTAAATAATATTAGTAGCATCCCTTAAAATTATATTATGTTGACCATGCTAATGTGACAATCTCCTAGGCCATCGTGCCCTAAACAAAAAATTGACCTTGTACAAGGTCAAACTTTCATTTTCTTTACTACTCTATAGTTAGTAGTCCTACATCCAAGACTTTGACCAAAAAATACGATTGGCTTTGAAAATCTACTAAATTAACCAAATTAAGATCTCATGTAATAAAGATTATACTAACATATATTAGTATTATATTATTAATCAGTGATACATTAATTATTACTGTATATATACTATATAATGAGAGTATGCAATAACTATCTTTTGAAATGTTTTTTTTTCTCGTATACATTTTATTCACCTTTTCAAGAAATAAATATAATGTATTAATATTCCCCAAATACAAAGTATATATATATATATATATATATCATAACAGTATATGTTAACATCCCATTAGTCAATGATTTATTATTTATTACTAAAGTTAGCATACGATAGATATAGTATAACATTATTACCAAAAAAATAACTATAACAGATTCATTGTATTTGAATTGTAGTCAATTTGATTAAACTATACTTTAGGAATTTAAGAAATTTTAAGGAAATAAATGATTGTATTTTTAGGTGATATGATAATTAACCCATCAATTAAGAGGAGAATCATTTTATGGCCTATTATATGATTATTTAGTTTATGTATGAGTTATGTAAGAATATATATAAATATACTAAAGGATTGCAAGGTACAAGCATTATTATATGTACCACTTCTAAGAAAGAACAATTCCTGTCAAGATTCTCATATACCTATGTAAAACTGTCATTTTTCAAGGTAAAATGATAAGATTTCTACTTTTTTATTACTCCCTCTGTTTCAAATTACGTGATACAATTCGTTTTTCGAGAATCAAACAGTTAAAGTTTGACTGAGAATTTGCTTGTGAAATCTTCAAATTTTTTAAAATGAAATTCATATATTTGTAAACTACATAAAAAGTACTATAAGTCACAATAATTGATAATTCAAAATATTGAAAAAATATATGAAAATTTTACGATTAAAAATAGATTTATTTAAATCTCGAAATTTGAATTGTGTCACATAAATTGAAATAGAGGGAGTAATTTTTGTGTGGCTTCATGACTTCATCCAACTTCCACCCTACCACCCACAAGTCCCCAACCTAAATAAGTAAAACAAATAATATGTAAAAAGAAAATTGATAAAAAATTTATATAGTGCTTATTTATTTAATCTGTTATATAAGTTTTAATGAAGGATTAGGCTTAACTATTATTATGATGAATGAAATTTATATAGTGCACTAATTTACTGTGCAATATGAGAAAAATATTAGCGCACTAATTTACTATGCTATATGAGAAAAAATATTAATACTACACTAAATTAGTATGTTATATAAGTTTCACGATTATAGTAATTGTTAAACGTAATCTGGTAGAGAAATTTATAAACGCACTAAATAATGAACTATATGTAGTTTTTGTCAACTTTATATTTGTACTTTCTCTGTTTTAAAGAAAATGATTCACTTTCTTTTTTTAATCTGTTTTAATGATCATTTTCTTTTTTGATAATATTTAATTTAAAATTTTCATATAACATTTTAAACATAATTTTAATTTAGAATCACCAAATTTTTCCTTAAAAACTATTATTTTTTAAACTAAAAATATACATATTTTTTTTCGTTTTTGTCCATCATCCAACTTCCACCCTACCACTCTCCTACCCCCACATGCAAAAACTGAGAACTCAACCAATCTTATTTACAAATTTCATCTCTCCATCTTTATTAGTCATTTCTTTATTAATTGTAGGGTCTGTCTCTTTCTTTTTCTTTCCTCGTAAGAACACAAAGGAGAAAAGCATATAAAGAAAGAGTTATTTTTTGTTCTCTCTGCAAAAAAAGTAGAGAATGGAAGATCCTGAAAGGCTTACATCATGCAACAGTGGAACAAGGAGAATTAGCTCCGACTCTATCCATTCACCCGAATTCGAATTTTGGATGGTCCGAAACCCATCATTTCCTCAGCCTAATCAGCTCTCTGCCGATGAGCTCTTCTCCGATGGCATCCTTCTCCCTTTAGACCTCCTTCAAAATGAACCAAATGCTATTTCGCCTGAACCGTCCGGGTCGGGCCGACCCGAAACTGAATCTGGAGTGGAGCCTTCTGCTGCGATAGTCAACTCGTCCGCCGGAGGAGCTTCTTTCACCTCCTCGAAGCGATGGAAGGATATTTTCAAGAAAACTGAGAAGAAAGATAGTAATGAGGAGAGTTGTAGAGAGAAGAAAAAGGAGAAGAAGAAAGAGAAAAAACTTGTTGGGGGAAGCAATGGGGTGACTGGGGCTGAGCTGAATATTAATATTTGGCCCTTTTCGAGGAGTAGATCCGCCGGAAACGGAGGAAGTAGGCCTAGGGTTACGGGTGGATCCGGATTAGCTACCCGAAAGGTAAGTAGTGCTCCGTGTTCCCGGAGCAACTCTGCCGGTGAATCCAAGTCACGGAAATGGCCTAGTAGTCCCAGCCGTGGTGGGGTTCATTTGGGACGGAGCAGCCCAGTTTGGCAGGTACGACGGAGCTCCGTTAACTCAGGATCCGGTAGCCGGAGCTCCGATAACCTCGTGAGAACTAATGAAAAAGCAATCAGAAAAGAAGCCCCACAGAAAGAAAGCAGCACCAAAAAGGTAGTTATTAAAAAAGAAAGCGTTGAAGGCCGCCGGAAATGGTCGTCAGCGGCGGCCGGCGGTGGGCCTAAAACTAGAGTCTTAAACTTGAATGTCCCTATGTGCATTGGTTACAGGAATCAGTTAGGTTGCAGAAGTGATGAAAATAGTGCCATCAATATCGCCGCCAACGGAGGAGTCGGTGGTGATCAGAGTGGTAGCAGCACGGTGACCGGTGAAGGCGTACGTGGCAGTAACTTATTTAGTATCAAAAGCCTATTTACTAAGAAAGTATATTAAGTAATTAAATAGTGGCAAATCCATAGTAATTACACACTTTTTGAATTATGTTAGTGTATCTATATCATTATCCTTTTCTATATATTCTCCTATGTAACTTTTGAATTATGTTAGTGTATCTATATCATTATCCTTTTCTATATATTCTCCTATGTAACTTTTTCGTAATGTAAAGTCCTAACTTTTGACGTTTGCAATGTAATATTTGGACCTCAGTTTGGTCAACTTACTGCATTCTTGCTATTATATAAAGTTGAAGGGTCTGTATAATTTTGCTTAATTACTTTAGTATTTACTTGTTCTGATAAACTCTATATTGTCAAGTTTTTGACAGTGCAATTGTGTTAATTTATCATTATGTTACATGGATTCTTCATCCAATACTAAATAAAGAGATGTGATAATTTCTAATTAAGCATGAAAGAATAGTTACTATGGAATATTGGGAGGCACAAAATCGGAGAAGGTGATAAGGTTTCGAACCAAGTCGTTATAAATTTTGACATAGATAAATTATGGCTAGCAAAAATACAGAGGTCAGTGGGCGTTACACCATGCTTTTCATTTACCAGTTAAGGTCCCATGGGGCGTTGGACATTACTTTCATTCCCTCTTTCGTTACGTTACATCCATAAAATTAAGCTGCTTTTGTTATTATATTGTCAATTTTTATCGTCTGTCTTCACACATTTTTTTTTGGCTTATTCTCATCTTTCACCGTTTCATTCAATCAATAATGTCTTCTGTTGTATTTTGGTAGATGAAATATCTGCGTCCATTCTGTTTTAGTGGACCTTATCCAAATTCCATTTACACTTGTTTTCATTTCAATTGGAATAACCTTTCATCTTCAATTGGAGGCGGATCCATAAATTTTTTAATCATGGCGGCTAGCTCAACTATTTTTAGCTCGAAAATTGCTACATACAATGGGTACTCAGTTAATATATTTCAATGAATTACTAAATTTTGTACATATATAATAATATTGTCACAAAAGGCAGTGATAATGCACAAACATAGGCCCGCATAGCCTTAAACCTACCCCATCCCGCCCCGCCCCACATAGACTTAAACCCACCCCGCCTCACATCCGCCCAACTCCATTGCCATCCCTAATGACATCTTAGTAATTGAACTATACCGTTGGAGACTTGCGAAATGAGATAAATAAGTAGACGAGTACACGAGAAATGGTAAAAATGCTAGGTGATTCTTTTATTTGTCTTAGTTTTGGTAGATATAGTTATCTGGTACCTGTTCCTAGTGAGAAGTGATAGTTACCCCATAAAATTACTCAAGGCGCACGGAAGCTGACCCCACACCACTATAAAAAAAAAAAATAGACGTGAGAAATGGCATAACATACTGTATTGATTTTGTTTCCACCAACATATAACATGAGAGTTGAAAGTGCCAAAGCCCAACTAGATACTCTGGGCTATTAAACGTCTAAAGAATTCATTTTAGATACTCTGGGCTGGTGGTGTATGACATTTTCAACCTTGTCAAATCTTAAAACATTTTTTCGTTAGAAAAATGCTGATTCAATAGAGAAAGGGCTATCTACATTATGAAAATTGAAATGAGGTCAAAATTGTAGCAGTCGTATTGCATATATTCAAATGTAGTAACATTTTGACGGTTGTTGCTTTGTTGGGTGTCCTTTCCCTTTCAATTCCACCAAAGTCTCAATCTGCGTCATATGTACCAAAAGATAAACATGCAAATCTACAATTAAATTATTTACGAAACACGCATTTGGTTGCCGACGGCAAGAGGTATTAACAAAGTCATGCCAGAAAGCTATAAATTGGTTTAAATTTTTTAGAATTATATTTTTTTCTTCATATAAAACACACTCTAAGATCGAAATAGATCAAGTGTTACACACAAAGTGATCCAATAAAATTAAGGAAAAACTATCTTAGATAAATAATTTTACCATATCGATTACATATTTTTATACTTTAAAATAATTACATAATCTTTTTCTCACTCGCTCTCTTCGTCTATCTCTCTCTTGTGTATTACAACATATTTTGATATACATATATTTATGCACGGATATAATGATAAATGTATCAATGCATTTTTTTATACAAGATATATATATACTACCTTAAAAGCATAAACTCCTAAAGTAAATGTTGAATTACTATGATACCCCCAATTGAAAATACTCAATTTATTTTATTTATTAATTTAATTATTTGTTTTATATTAAATGTAGATACCCTTTCATATTAAAGGGTTGTGATTTTCTCAAAGAGATATGACATTTTCAAAGGGTTGCGACTTTTTTGATGGGTTTTGACATTTTCGATGAGTTGTGACTTTTCCGAAGAGATGTGCCTTTTCTAATGAGTTGTGATTTTTTGCCAAATGTTGTGATTTAGCCGATGAGCAGTGACTTTTTCGAAAGGCTGTAACTTTTCTGATAAGGAACAATTAGCACCTATAAATACACTATTTGTTAGATATAAATAGAGGGTTTTCTCTCACTTTTAAACTACGATATTTTAAAGTTTTCTACTCTTCTTCTTCTTAAAAAATCTCGGGGTTATTTGCAACAGTTGATTAAGTTCAAAATTCAACGAAATTCGAGGTACCACATAAGAAAGAGTTGATGAACAAATTGTAAGAAATCATTCATAAATTCACCTTTGTATTTATTCTTATGATTTCCATGAGTTAACAGTGACGAAATGTTGTGGCAAAGACAATACTAATAAACAAATATGAGTAAAGTCACATGATTTGGGTAATATATTTCTTCTTTGATTTTTTATTTTTATTTTTTTACCCTCAAATGAAGCAATTCTTCCTGATTTTGCTAAAACAACAGGCATGAACGCAGTCCATTGGATCATTAGTTTTGATGTTAAATTCACTTTTATTTATAATATGATAATATAGACATGATAATAATTATTTTTAATAGATATGTAAGTAAGAATGAATAAATAAAGTAAAGTGTTGCTGACAAGAGATTTTAATCAAATGGAACTCTATAGTGAATATAGCATGAACATATATTTTCGTCTTCCTTCTTCATTGGCTATGTATTGTTCAATATATCTATTTCCCGATTATTTTGTGTTCATTTTAAGTTGAGAAAAGTTTATGTCACAAGATACACTCCGTGTTAGCTATATAAAAATAGATAAGAAAATAGTGATTGATCATAAAATAATCTTAAGTCAAACTAAATATTCTATAAAAAAAAACTTCAAATTTTATTCATATATTAATTTCTATTATTGAAAAAGTTTAATATTTTATATTGCGATGCAACTTCTATAAGATACTAGATACTCTCATTAGACAACAACTATATGATATGTATGCAGCAGAAAAAAGGAGAAGACTGCAATTCTACAAATATAAGGTAGAAACTTAAATAAATGAAATATTTTTCACCAAAGGTGATGTTGTTCATATATTAAAATTAAATTATGCTACTGAAATATATATGTATATCTGAAACAAAGAATTGGTCAAGCTAAATATTTGACATACACTAAAACCTCAATTTAACCATCATTCATTATAACAATAAAATACCTTCTTTTCTTTGTAGAATTACTTCTTTATAATAGTCTTACTCAAATATTAATTGGTAAAAGATAGATTACGTATAAAGATAAAATTTTGAAATATTTATGATAGTCCTTATTAGTGTCATGCACATACTAAATTTGAAGTATGAATATTTAAGAGAAAAATTATACTTAAATGTTGTCCATCATTTATGTTCGTAACCTCAAGAGGAAAGACTATTGGTGACATTTTTTGTATTGATATTTTATTAAAATTTTGTTGGTTAGATTTGTTTAAAAAAATTGAGTGAAGTAGCTTTGAATGTATTTTGAAATGTTTCAATAATATCTAGTCATTTTGATTTGAAAATACAAGTAACTCTATAACAATCTGTATTAATTATTTAAAAGCACTTGTCCTATGTTCTTTAAATTATAATTATTCACTAAAAAGCTTTAATTTAGTAATATTAATTCTATTTTACAACTTCGGATGTTATATATATGATACACACGTGCAATACACGTGTTTATGGACGGATATACCAACTTCGGATGTTATATATATATATATATATATTCTTGATATCAAATACACGTGTTTATGGACGGATATACCAACTATTTGATAACATATACACTGATGAATTATATTGAATATACGAGATGAAATGATTTCAGATATATTAAATAAAATTGATTTCTGGATATACATATATATGAAATTGATAGGACACAAATATATAAAAAAAAGACAACATAATGAGCGAGAAAAAATCAATATATTTCATATACATGTGAATCATGGTTAAATATAATTTATCTAAAATAATTACATTTAATTTGATCTCTATATATTTGACATACATATTGTAACACCCCGTATTCGAAAACAAACCAACCAACAGATTTCCAGAAGTTGCAGGTGCAACCCACGGTTGCCACTCACGGTCCGTTCTGGTGGTCCGTGGATGGACACTTGCGGCCCTCCCTAGAAGCAGTCCAGAAATCCAGCTAAGGGTCCACCCACGTCGGGCCACGATCCGTGATCTAGGGTCGTGGGTGAACTCCTAGCTTTCAGTCCCAGAACCCCCCAGGAGATTTAGCTAAGGGTCAGCCTACGCCAGGACCCACAGACCGTAGTCCAGTGCCGTAGGTCAGACCTTCAAAAATCAAGTCTCTGAAGCCAAACGACGGCCGACCAGCACGGACCGTTGGTCCATCCACGGTCCGTCGTCAGGCCCGTCGGTGGCTTCAACAACTTTTAAGTCAGGGGTCGTTTGGTCTTTTCCCTATGTGTTGGACCCCTAAACTACATTGTTTAACCCCTAAACTACGTGGTTTTGGTTAGTTTTAGCTTAGTAAACTAATTAGAACTTAACCTAATCAATTATTCATAAAAAATTCATCAACTTTACAGCAAAAATCAGAGAGAGAGTCCAGCAGCCCTCAAGAACACACATCAAGGTTTTCTTCAGTTCCAGCCCGAAATCAAAAGATTTCTCCGTGAATTTCGTCACCAGGTATGTGAAATTTCACTAGTGGGCTCCTTTCACCCATTAGGTCCCTAAATTCAGTCAGATTCTTGATAGTCTTCATATTATCTAGACCCAAGATTTCTAGAATTTCAGTAGATTATTATGAATTTGTTACTTTAATGTTCTTAAACATATTATAATAATATTAGTATTATTTTGTGTAAATTCTTCATAAATTCACAACCGTAGCTATGTAGTTCTTTTAGTTCATGAATTACGCATACTAGGTCAGTTATCTCAGTTATACATGCCTCAAATTTGAATGTTTCATTATTAGTACATTAATGTTGCATTTTTAGTTAGCATGCCAGTATTTTGAGCTATCCAGTATTACAGAAATTCAGTCATAAATTGTTAATTACATAATCAATTGGGAGTAGCTTAATACCGAGTGGACTAAGGTCAGTCACCCTCAAGTCCCAAAACTACGTTCCCCGTACGTTGTAAGTCCCCTCTGTGGGCATCAATTTAGTGATCACGACAGTCATGCTTCTATACCTCTGGCAGGGTATATTGGGTCCTCTCGATGGGGCGTATACATCAGACTCAACATTTAGCTTATGTGGTTTTATGTCGGTTATTAGTAGCTCTCTTACAGTCAGATTATATTGCATTGACTATGTTATCAATTACATTCAGATTTCAGTCTCAACATGTTATAAACTCGGTCGTTGCATTCAGTCATTTCTTGTTCAGTATTCTCAGTTAAGTCTTATGATAATCTCTTATCATTGCTCAGATATATGTTTGTTCAGTGATTGTTTTATTTAGCTTTATTCTATCCTACATGCTCAGTACATTTCAAGTACTTACGCATACTTTGCGCTACATTTTCTCGTGATGTAGGTTTATGTCCTCAACTTTCAGATCACGCATAGATCGGTTCCCGATCTTCAGCTCAGCAGTATCAGTGGTGAGTCCTCATTCTCCAAGGACGATATGTATGTTTCTTTTCTATTTTTAGTCTTTAGTTTCAGTTTTGCTAGATTTAGCTGGGACATTTCTCAGTACTTCTAAGTCAGTTAGAGGCTTATTTCAGACATAGTTAGTTTCAGCTTTAGCATTTGAGTTTGATATTTCTGTTGTTGTTAAACTCTCAGTTTTTTTTATATTCAGATAGTTATGAGTATTCCCCATCGTTTCATTTCAGTATATCTTATGATTTAGCTTTCGCACAGTATTTTCTTACTTCAGTTTATTTAGTATGCTTATGATATGCCAGCAGGGTTAGCTTGGGATTACTCTGTGATCCTAGGTCCCGTGTCTACGTCCTGGGGATAGCTTCGGGCCATGACACACTATTTATTGTCAGATACATATATTCATAACAATATCTTTCCACAAAATATTTCAACATATAATTAGGGGCAATAATATTGTGCATTATGGTATTTTTCCTCTAAAAATAATTCGGAGGATCAACACCGACCCAAAATAAAGTAATTAAAGAAAAAAATTGCATGTCGCAATATTGGAATTGGCACCCCCAAACAAGACAAAAGAGGAGTATAATAAATAAGGGTCTGTTTGGAAAGTCACTTGGTAATTGTAATTCTAGTAATTACCAGCATAGTAATTACACTGTCTAGTAATTAAATTGACCTGTTTGGTTGCCATAGTATAATTACTCTGTAATTACTCTTGTCCTGTTTAGATGTCACAGTATAATTACACATGTTATGTTTGGATGCATAATTGCAATCATAAAATTATAATAAATTTTAAAAATAAAAATTAATTATTTAAAATTTATACTAGACAAATAAGAAACTTTATAAATGAAATGAAATTAAATATTTAAGATATATATTCTTTTTTGAAAATATATTAATTAATAAACATATTTTCTATAACTAATATTATGAAAAAATAATTGATTTATATTTTTTCAAATTAATATATTTCAATTGAATTGATCGTAACAACTAAAAGTATGAAGTTTGTATGAACATCGTGAAATGCATGTTTGATTAAAATAATGATATATAAATAAAATGTCATAAATTATTAAATGTTTGAAAAAAATATAATCTATCAAGTCTAATTAAAAAACGACGTGCAATGTAAATTCAATATTACTAAAACAAATGAAACTGAAAATATAACATAGGTTATAAATTCAAAACAAAAAATTTAACATAATACTCTTATAACAAATTTCAGCATAGCAATAAATATGATTTATTTTTATTTTTTCTTGATAAAGAAAACGTAAGTGTATAACCTTACTTAACAATAAATTCTATTTTAATTTAAAAATTAGAATACTAATAAAATTATGCTAATGAGAAAATAAGCATGGCATAAAGAAATAGATAATACGAGAAAATTACGTAGAATCACGTAAAGTAAGGTTGAGAACAAGAAGAAAATGAAATATAATAATATAAAATAAAAAATAAACTTTTACATATTTTTAGAATAATAAAAATAAAAAAAGAACTTAAAATAATAGAAATAAAAAAAATTAAAACAAAAAAATTAAAATCAAAATAAAAAAAAGAAATTAAAAAGTAATCAGACCATATAATTACTAGCAATTCACAGGCAGAGCTGTGAATTGTAAAGTGTAATTACCCCTGCCAATTACACCAACTACCTGATGACCAAGTAATTACATGTCCTTCCAAACAGGACAAGACAATGTAATTACGCCAATTACACCAAATTCAATTATCGGGTGTCCTTCCAAACAGGCCCTAAATAAAAAAGCCCTAGAATTTGGTGATTAGTATAATCATTGAATCGAATCGTATTCCCCTCATTCTCGAAGTTGCAGCAACAGAGTAGAATCAATGTCCTCACGCGATAGCAAGAAACCCTCTAGGCAAACCTCCGGTAGCCGTGCCGGAGGAATTCGTACACTTTCTGATCTCAATCGTCCATCCGGTCACGATTCCGACAGCGATTCCGATGGTCCCCAAGAATACTACACCGGTGGTGAAAAAAGGTACTTCTATCAATTGGTCAAACCCTAACTCGTCTCGCCATCATTCTCTATTCCTCAATTGATTAATCAGTTGTTGACTTTTACACATTTATTCTCAGTTTTATAAATCAATCAACTAACTATGTCAAATCCAAAACTTAGCTGATAGCAGTATGTATGAATCTTCTATATTCATGAAGGGGATTGATGATAATTAGATTGTTTTTTTAATTCAAATTATGTTTAGTTACTTCTCCATAGTTGCGTTTAGTTGAACATATATTAAACTGTTACATGTTTGCACGTTTTGATAAGGAATGATGTGTTAGAGTTTGATAAAGCTGATGTGTTCCATGTGAATTGTATATTTGCTATGTTATTCTCAGCAAAAGGCAGAGCCTTTTACCATTTTCCTTTTGTAGTTTGTGAGTTTGTTCTTGTTAGAGGTTCTGTTGTAGTTTGTGAGTTTGTTCTTGTTAGAGGTTCTGTTGTAGTTTGTGAGTTTGTTCTTGTTAGAGGTTCTGTTGTAGTTTGTGAGTTTGTTCTTGTTAGAGGGCACCATATGGGATAAAAAGGTTGTATGTTTAGTTGCAGGTTGTCTGATTCTTTTGTTGCTAGTGCGGAGCTGGTGGATTTAGAGAACTATAGTCCATTGTTGTTGATATTTTCAGAATGATTTTCTTGATCATGTTTTTGTAGAGAAAAGAGTGTTTCCTAGGTAATACAGAGGTGAAAGTAGGGTGTAGGATGAGGTTTTTGTGTGTTTTGGGATGGGAGTGCGGGGGGGAAATTGGATATTGATGATTCTTATCGCCGATGTCAACTAGCTTGAGATTTAGGTGTTGTTGTCATTGTTGTGGCTAAAAGGAGTGCTTGATCTGTTGGGGTGCTAAGAAATTATTATAGAAAAAGAAGATGGTGGCGAAAGGTAGGGGTAAGGTCTCCGTACACCCACCCTCCCCAGACCCTATGGGATTTCACTGGGTATATGACAATTGACAAGTATATAATTAGACATTCATTACCCTTCGGGGTGGCCCAGTGGTTTGGACTTGGGACTTCCATGTTGGAGGTCTCAAGTTCAAAACCCCTTGCCAGCGAAAGTAAGGGGTTTGCCTTCTCGGTCGAGCTCGTCACACCGGGCTTGCCTAGTGCGGGTTACCTCTCCTATGTGGTTTGCGTGCTATTGCATAGGAGCGGGGGTTTTACCCTGTGCGCACCCAAAGGGTAGCGGCTGCTGGTTTCCCTTGTCATCAAAAAAATAATAATTAGACATTCATAAAAACCTTTCCAAAAATGCATGTCAATTTGTTGGTTACTTTACCTATATTTTGTGGTTGTATGCTGTTTTCCACCATTCAGCTTTAATGTTGTTCTTATCTCAAAATCTAAGGTAGATTTTGAACTAGTCAGATGTGTTATTGCTGAATGTGTCGCTTCTCGTGATTCTAACAATTAATTCATTTTAGTTGTCCAATCTATGAATTGTCTTCTATTCTTTTAGCTCTTTTCTGCACTTGGATGATTTGATAGATAGAATTTTAAAGGGGAGATAGAGAGGCTAGCATGCCTATTATGTATAACTGTATCACTAATATACCTATGATTATGCTTGTAGTGGAATGCTTGTTCAAGATCCTTCAAAGCATAATGATGTGGACTCCATCTTTGACCGAGCTAGGCAAGTGGGTGCCACGCAAGGTCCTTTGGAAAATGTCGTCCCTAGTTCAAGCTCAACAAGCTTTACTGGATCTGCGAGAACACTTGCAGGGGAGACAGTGCCAACATCAGCAGCTCCTCAACCGCCCGAGTCCATCGTGCACAATATTGTCTTCTGGAGAAATGGTTTCACTGTAAATGATGGTCCTTTGAGAAGGCTGGATGATCCTGAAAATGCATCTTTTCTGGAGGTAACTGTAGTGAGCATTTAAATAAAAATTCATGATTAGGAACAAACATCATGGTCAATCCTGCTAGATAGTCAGTAGTCGGTCTATATTTCAGATTTACAAATTCATCTCCTGCTAATGTTAATTGTCACTTATATCATCACAATTTCTACCATCCTCCTATTATCGGGAGTCTAGGGGCATGACATATGCACATGACTAAGCTCCCCATTTGAGGATCATGCTCTTAAGCTCCCATGTTTTGTTGGTCATCTGTTTCATATTCAAATTATCACTCTGTTTTACTAAATCTTTTACTGGTTTTTTTCCATGGTGTATTTGGTGATAAAGATTTTCTATTTTGAATGACTTTTGGTTACTGGTTCTTCATTTCAGAGTATCACAAAGTCTGAATGTCCTAGAGAGTTGGCTCCTGCAGATACCAGATCCCAGGTGCATTGCAACCTCATAAGAAGGGATGAGAACTGTCCTGTAAGTATTGCGTGTTCAGTCCACCATTTTTCTCATTTTTCATCTCCTTTGATGCACCAAATATGAAAAGGGGACATTACAAGGAAGAGGAACAAGTTAATGAGTGCACATATACAACATTGGCCATAGTACGTTCATTTCTTTGTGGATCTGTACTCTGTTATATAAGAAAGATTAGGGAAAGAACACGGGAACAAACTTTTGATATTCTTCTGTTTCTCTCCCTTATCCCTAGATGTGTGTCTCTTTTCGTCCTCTGAACAGAAGTTTGGAAACCTGTGACAGAATCTCTTCACTGGTATTGACTTCATTACTTAATGTCACTAAACATGTGTAACACACTTGCAGGAACCAGAGAAACGCCAAGTTTCGTTTCAGGGAGTGGGAAGAACACTTGGAAGCAGCGCAACTCCAGCAACTTCTGAGCCATCTGCTTCTGCTCCCACAAGCACAGTCCCAGCAGCTTCCACAAATGTTCTGGATGAATCATTGCCTTCGACCTCGCTTCAAATTAGATTGGCAGATGGAAGTCGCATGGTTGCACACTTCAACTTCCACCAAACTGTTGGCGACATCCGTGCCTTCATTGATGCTTCAAGGCCAAGTGACACCAGGGCATATCAACTACAAACTGTTGGATTTCCTCCTAAAATGCTCAGTGACCCAACCCAGACGATTGAGCAAGCAGGACTGGCAAATTCAGTGGTTATACAAAAATTTTAATGAGCTGCCAAAACTCTCTTTTCGTTTTATTATTTCCAGACGTTTCGATTTATTTACTATTGGATATTATTTTTAATCTTTGTGAATCTAAAGCTGTACCAAGATAGCAGCAGGTGTTGTATAAAAACGCAACGTTGTACGGGTCTGTCTCCGAATTATGTGTCATATGGTACTTTCTTCATCTCCTGTAAGAACAGCTGCTGTGTGGAAATGAAGTAGAATGGTTTGTATGATTTGAGCATTCAAGACTTGATGATATCACAGAATATGATTTACTGTTGAATTGCAGTTAGTGTGTTTGGTAAAAAAATGCCAATGAACACTTGTTTGACCAAAATGACTTATACTTCCTTGAAGTTGTTTATAGAAAAATTTAAAAAGTATTCTAGGTGTATCCTAATCTTTTCAAAATTATGCTAGAGTAGCTTTTATTGCTTGGATTCCACTTCCTGAAACTGATTTTTCAATACATCAAAGTTAAACATATTACACTGAAGTTCTATCTAGTTATGTATTGTGTTCACCAGTGCTACCAGGGTAGACATGGTATGATGCAATATTTGAAAGTTTCTATACCTAAATTTTGATAATTCAATTTTTAAAACATTATATTATTACCATATCAATATATTAAAGTTTGGGATATTCTACAATATGATAAATTAGTAATCATAATTTGCTTAACTTCAACTAATATATACTCGTATGATAGAGTATTATGACTTTGACAATTATAAAAAAGTCTCAATTGTATCATACTAACACATTACACATGTAGAAATATATATACAAATAAAGTGCAAACAACTCCTTCTGTTAATCAATTACAATTCAAATACATTTCAAAATAGATTGGTCATAGTTTCAACTTTTAAACATTTAGTTTGTAAAAATACTAGGTGGCATATTTGTTACTATTTTAATAATACATATGTTATTTATGTAACTAAATATACTTCAGTATGATATTCGATATTTCGGTATGTTATTTCTAAATACCAAATATCATATCAAATACAAAAAGAATAAGTCAAAATGCATACCATATACCATACCAATTACCATGATACCAAAACCATGGTATTAAAAATTTCGATATGACATGGTAATTCGGTATATACCATACCATGCGCATCCTAAAATTAAGCAAGTGCTGGTGTATAATACCGCCCAGAGTGTGTAAACTCGGAGCAGAGTAGAAGATAACATGTCAATAAATTTACACTAATTTTGCCATTCAAAATCCAAAAGACTGTTTTGCTAGTTCAGTTTCAAACTCCAACAGACTGTCAACATCTGCTAATACTAGTACATACAAGAACTACTGACAAAAGCAGGACACAACAGACATCAGATAATATATGCAAAGAACTGGCATTAGTTCCAGTTCAGTGCACTGTACAAAATCCTGATGAGCATCCCAAACATGATGAAAACTAGCTTCATCCATCTTTACCACAGCTCCGCCTACCTCTTCTGGCGCTTTGGCACAACCTGGAAAATCATCACAGAATTATTAAGCATATCTGCCAATGAGAGAGAGAGCGTAACTATAAGCAGAAAAGATGAAGCATGTTACAAAGACTTGCGAATGATACAAGTATGTACCATACTTGCATATGCCCAATGCATTTACCAAGTTTGCCTAATACTTTCAAAGATTAAAAAGCATAACCCATGACTATATGACAAGGAAAGGACATCAGAGAAAATGAGGGTGCTGCCATGAAGGAGAAATTTGGCATACATGTTGAGTAGAATTGTAATAATAAACAACAAAAGTGAGGGTCAAATCAGAATGAAATTGCAGCATAATCAAAGGGAAGCTGTTGCTCAACAGAGTACCAGTGGCGGCATAGGTAAGGGTTCTATGCAAAGAAAGTGTTAGATCCAAGGTAATGCTACAAATGGGGACGTAGGGGTCAAAATGTTAAAAACCACACGCATACATGGCCACTAGTTAATTATTCAAGAATGGCAGGTTGAAGGAGAAAAGAGCAACAAACCTCACATCTTTGTGTCCTAATAAATATTGTTTAAGGGCAAAAGGCAAAGGTTTGCTAAGGCTTTAAAGAGTTGTTTGGTTCACATACTAGTTATGTGGGAATTATAATACACGAATCTTTATGCCGCGAATAATAATGAAGGGATAATTATGCGGTGATTAACAATATAGGAATTGTTTTGCAACGAATAATAATACAACAAATGTTAACTAGGGATTACCAACTTTGAGAGCACTTTCTCATTGAAAACTTTCATCCCCTTACTCCTAATATATGTTGTTGTTTTAATAACTGTGGTGTACGGGATAGCTTGCGCACACCTTGACTAATTCAAGGGGGTAACTGTTACCTCCCACCAGCACAGATGTCGGGTAACTCAGTCCACCAAGGCTTGGACAAATGGAATAAAATCACCTAGTATTTTGCCTCTGCTAGAATTTGAACCTAAGACATCATGGTCTCAACCTACTTATTGACTACTCTTTTCCAAATTCTATTCTGTGGGAAATAATATATTGATTATTGCATAAATTAATGCTTGTATTATTTAATTTACAATACTAACCAAACACTACACTAGTTATGCAGGGATTATTCTAATAAAGGGCCAACCAAATGCTAAGTTACGCGGCGGGTGTTTTTAAAATTCTCCAGCCAAGCAATGTATTATAGTATGATGAGATTACTTCTCTTAATATATCCCTCTAACCAAATGATCCTTAGCAGATGAAGGAACGAACAAATAATATACACGCAATGCAGAAAAGAAACTATATACAGTATGAGTATTACTTTTTTTTTTTTGAAATTGGTAACGTAGTATACAGTATGAGTATTACTCTACTTCTATAAGCTGAATGCATCTACCAGATGCTTGATTAGTGAAATTCACTATAAAGTAAATCATGTCACATCATTTCCTTTTGTTTTTTGACAAATCAAAGAAATCCATCTCATTCATGATATACCAAGTCAGTATAGAAAAACAAACAATGTTGGTATATAAAGCAGTCACGGTCATCAATCAAATCTGAGGACTAGCTGTTTTAAATTTCGGATTAAGATGTGCAGATGCAGTGTCATGTTTTAACTTAAATTCAATGACTAGTTTTCATAATCACTAAAGTGGAGAAGTACGAACTTCAGCTTTTCAAATGTTAGAAGTCAATCAATAACAGCTAAAGCAAGCCAACAACATAGTACCTTGCCACTGGACAGAGGGACTGGAGTATTAACAGACTTCTTCACAGAGGATGAGCAATCGGAACAAACAAAGTCAGCTAGTTGTTTAGTTTGTTCACTAGTCAAACCCACACAGGCCGGATGATACCTACAAAGATCAAGGAAACAAATCGTAAGAAATGAAAGCATGCAATGCTTTTAAAACTGGAATCGGATCCTGGCTCTATGTTGCTTGGTCTCCCCAAAAATGTTGCCGCACTGTATTGGATCCTCCAAAATGCACTATTTGACATTTCTAAGGAGTCCAAGCAACATAGTCCTGGCAGGTTTTTGGTTTAACCAATCAGATGGTTCATGAAGGTACAGTCTTCAGATCAGTGGTTCTAACAGATTATAAAGAATCTGGAACTCATAAAGCAACTTGGATGGCTCCCAGATAAAATTAACTTAACCCCAGATTGTGGCATGATGATTGAGATGTGGAAATCTTTTATGTATGCCCAGCATGACAACCAATTCAAAATCTATAGATACGCCTAAGGAAATGGCACCAATTCAAACTAAGACAATTTCTTATTCTTCTTTCCCGATAAGTTGCTAGGGGTGGAATATCCCTCACTTTTTTTGATCAAGAATTGCTAGGGCCCTTCACTTAATATCTAATGCTTTACAAACAAAAAAAACTATAAAGCAAAGACCAGCCGCAACTTTCACCATACAGATATACTCTTCATATATTGTACATAATGCACTAAAGAAAAATAAGCAAGAAATACAAAGTATTCCTTGCAATAGAGCTAAAGAAAGAAGAAATGTCCATTTTAAGAAAATAATTGAAAAATAGTAAAATAAGTAAACAACAGAACTCAGAACTCTCCAAGGCAGAGCAGGGTTGGCCCAACTGTTGAGAGGTTCTTTCAGCAGTCATACACAGGCAACAAGAAAGAAGATCTCTACTCGTTTATGTTCCGTCTCTTGTTTATTTACTTATTTTATAATTTGGTTTTACGGTCTTCAGAGGAGAGGAAATCAATGCAAGTAATTACATTACTAATACTCTGCAAATTAATCAGAAAGATGAAATGTTGTGTATACCAGTCCTTGCACTGCTCGCATTGTACCATTAAATCATCTGGGTTATATGGCATCTCACATTTGCAATACCTTCAGAAATAAAAATAAAGAAATATGAGCAGGAAGAACATTACTCAAGTTCAATCAGCAAGCAAATGAAATCTACTTACACTGCAACACGATCTGGCATAAAAGCTCCAGTTGCCGCTTTATACTCAAACCGACAGTAGTAATCATCTGGACCAACATTCTCAAGCTTAGTATAGTTCTTGAATGTATGAACAGTGCACTTCCCTTCTATAGTGTGGGCACTTTGAACATCATGGTGGTCTGACAAGAATAACTCCTTTGATCCATGAAACTGTCTCCGCCCTCCCATTGACTCCTCTGGCCGGTAATACCATGTAACATGCACATAAGTGTGGTTGTTGCTACCAGCTTCAATTTTCTCGACGAGTGCTACATATGGAGCCTTATCGTTTTCTGATGGCCTCATCAACACACAGTCCCCAACTTCACAAGTCATAGCAATAAAAACCAAATTCAGTTATGCAATTCACAAATCACAATTCATTTCTAAAATCCCAACCAATAGCAACATAATTAAGGAGCTAATGGATATCTTAAATATTACAAAATGAGCACAGCACACTCATTTAAGAGTTATGAATGAGTGCAAAAGCAAGCATGCATAAAGAAGCTGGATACTTCTGCAAACGTACATAGGAAAAGCATAACTACAATCTTTACCACCACCTAGACCCCAACAATGTCGCCTCTCAAATGGCCACAAAATGATGCTGAATCCTCTCCAAATGGCATATAATGTGTATGCATAAACAGTTCTCTGCATGTCTGCACATTTATTTAAGCACATTAGATTCTCTTTTCTTTTCCATTTCATTGCCTTTCTCCGTTTCACTGGTGCAAAACAGACATCAGAACCCACTTACAAACTCAAAACTCCCAGCTGAAACCCCATAACAAAGAAACAATCTTTCTTCTAAGTTACTATCCATAGTCCAACAGAAACAAATGCAGCCACAATTTTAAACAATAAAATTAGGTTAAGCCGTAGTGGGCAAATTCAATTTGGGGGCCCATCATCTGGTGAGATGGGTTCTGATTTGATACACATAAATTAGTTCTTGGGCCTAACTCACGCTGCAAAAGTTAGCCGATACGAAGGAGGACTGCCCAAGACTTATAAGCAGAGCACTCATTTCATTAATTAGCGATATGGGACATTTTTCATTCTTCAACTCAACAACAACATACCCTGTGTCGTCCACATGCACGTCTCAAAAATACCCCTATTTTGTTCTTCAAACCAACCTACAGCAAACACTTAATCTCCCATGAAAATCCTAAGAGAACAAATAACGTAGAAACAAAAAAAAGAAAGAAAGAAAAATCCTAAACCCCACGTTCAAATAGCTGGTACAAGCTCAAAATCGAGCTCACCTACCCCACCTTGCTACAAACCTATAGTATATCAGAACATTCAGTCAAGGTAACACCACAATTTTTTAAGGAAAAAAAAATGTAACAAAACCTTAAACGGTCAATGTAAATGAAATTTATACACGAAACAGTGAAACTGTAAATGTAGATACCTCTGACAACTTTGGTGGTGCCTGTAATGATGTAAAGGGGCAAGTCTCGTTTTTCAGGTCTCTTTGCCATTGGAAATGAGAAGCAAAGGTTGTTGGTTTTGCAGTGTGGTCCAAAAAGGGGATTTTTTAGATAACCTTTAAGAAGAAAGATTGTGCATTCAAAAGGGAAGAAGAAAATGCAGGTGCATTTTCATGGATGCTTCTGGATGATTCTTGACATTGATTTGATTTCTCTGAAAAATGAAAAGTTCTTCTTTATAAACCCTAGGATTTTTAATTTATTTTTTTGGGGGCGGACGCGGCGAGGTAAGGCTAGCTAAAGATGTATATAACGTGTTGTTTGGGAGAAGCCGATTCGCCACTTTAAAAAAGTATTTTCAAACTAATGCCACGTATTCCACGGACGTTACGCTAACACTAATGCTTGTTTGGTTGGACAAATTTAGAGTCGATATGCTTGAAGATAAAATTCCAACAAATTTAGAATCGTTAGATTCGAAGACGAATTAGGTAAAATTAGTAAAGGTAGTATAATTGTTGAACTATATGTTTTATGACGATCAATAAGTTGTTCAATAATGATGTCCTATTGCGAGGTTTTCCAAGACGTCGAGTTCATTTCTTATGCCTAATGACATGTCAATGACCCAATAACGATGTCGCTATCAGAGGTTTTTTGGAATGTCGGGTGCGATCCTAAAGCCAAGTTAGATGTCAAGGGCCATACGGGTCTACATAGGTAGCACGGGTGTCCCATGTTTGAGGCCAGACGACATCAGCCAAGGCTTGCGCGTATCGGACATGCGACGTCGGCCAACGACAGGCGGTATCAACCAAGGACTACGCGCATCAGTCAGGCGACATTGGTCGTGGCCTGCGCACATCGGCTAGCCGAGGCCAGGCGACATCAGCCAAGGCCTGCGCGCATTGGACAAGCGATATCAGACGTGCCCTGCGCACATCAGCTGTAATCTGCGCGTATCGGCTAGAGGACATCGGTTATGGCGTGCGCACATCAGCTAGCCGAGGCCATGCGACATCAGCCAAGGCCTGCGTGCATCGGATAAGCGACATCGACCAACAACAGACGACATCAGATGTGGCCTGTGAGCATCGATTGTAATCTGCACGCATTGGCCAATCGACATAGATCGAGGACATGTGGCATCGTCTATGGCATGTGCGCATTGGTCAGCTGAGGTCGGCGATGTGGCCTGCCCGAATTGGTCAGGCGACGTCGGACGTAGCCTATCTGCATCATATATGGCCTCCATGCATTAGATGGCGACGTTGGCCAAGGTCAAGTCGACAACATGCGGATGCCCATGCTGTACAAAAATCAAAAGAGAGTGAAACACCATTCATGTATAACAACATCATATATTTGGGCATATCCATCTATTTTCCATCATCTATTCTCAACGTTTCCACCTCATGTGTTTCATTCGTACCAATTTTCACTAATTTTACGGTTCATACAATATTGAAACATCTTATATTTGTACAATTATGTACTCTATCATTTGTTTCACATACTGAGAAGTGTTTTATAGTATTTCCCTATTTTTCTGACTTTTATTCATTTAAAAATAATATATATTTTACGTCACATTTAAAAAAACAAAATTTACTCAATTGTTGGATTTAAGGTTACTACATTTATTGGTAACTTTTTGGTATTAATTTTATATTTTTTCATATTTTTTATTAATTTATTACTTATTTTTTAGAATTTTCTGAAAAAAATAAAACATTTGAAAAAATTATTGAAAAAAAAATAATATATATATATATATAAAATAAAAAAATAAGAATAATAATATAGAGCTTAGTTCTTTTGAAATAAGAACCAAACATTTGATTAAAATTAAACATCTCAAATTTAATCTCTGGTATAATTTATACTTGCATTTTATTTTTTATTTTTATATAGAAGAAGTAAAATGCAACAAAACAATTTATTATGTGTGTTGAAATTCATACTAGGATGTTATGCAACCGCACAATGTTTTATTATGTTGAAACTTGTTAATTATTTGCTTTATATGTTAAATCAAACAACCTCTTTAAGTTCATTTATTTTTATTACTTCTTTCATCTTTATTATATATGTTTTAGTTTGATTGAAACGAGTTGTAGAATTTTTTTTTTATAATCTTAACCCTAAGATATACATAATATACTAAAATGTTGGTAAAAATTTATGTTTTTCACCATGTCATATGAGATATTAAAATTAGATAGTTATTAAACATAGAAACTCAGTAACATTAATTTTCTAGACTAACTAAAAAAGTAAGATTTTTTAAAAAAAAGATATGAGTAAGATTAATAAGTTTCTAATACCGGATAATTCAAAATCCAAAATATGGTTGCTCTACTGCTTTGTATTTGTAACTTATTATTATAAAAATAAAATAATGTAAGTTATTACAGCTTTGATTACTTCTAGATGATCAGTCACTTTTCATGATAACGACCACGGTGTGAGATTAAATTATGATTGGCCTAAAGTCAACTACCCCAAAAAAGGCTACATACCCTGCAATTGATTTTCACTCATCCATTAATTTAATTATCTAATAAAGTAATGGATCCATTGCATATTCCTCCTTTTATTCTTCTGGAAAGAAGAAAAAGTAAAAATGTAATGAGAAGTAACGTGGAAAATGCGCAATCCAAATTTAATCGAGATTGAAATCAATAAATAAGTAAATTCAACCCCCTACCTACCTACCCAATGGCAGAGTTAGAATTGGTAACTTAGGCCCAGTTCTGACGAAGGCTCCCAATATGGGCTTCTTTTTCAAATGTGGGTCGGGCTTTTCTTAGTTTCATCACATTACAATTGGGTTGGGTCATTAATTATTGTAAAATGAATTTGTTAGATAATTGTTTTTTTTAATAAATGTATGATTGAAATTTATTCTTTATAATACACTAAACATATATTTTAAATTTGGATTTATTAAGTGTATAATTTGATGTTGAATTATGTACTGGATTGTCAAAATGAGAAGAACAACTTTATTTTTATTGGCAAAAGAAAAACATGTGAATTTTGCCTTGATAAAATTTCAGTAAAAATATATCCACAATTTAGCTTGTAAAGTCTACAATTTTAGTCAGAAATATCTTAAATTGACCTCGTCAAACCATACCAAACTTCAGGCAAAGAAATATCTTAAATTGATCAAAATTGTTACTACTGTATCAAGATTAGTCATGACTTACTTGCTCAAATCGAATCGCAGCAATGAAAGAAAAGTTCACTATTAGGATTTCAAGAACAATGAATTGCTTGATCTTCCCTACCTATCTTACCGACGATTAAAATAGTTTCTATGTAAATGTGAACTCTATTTTCACAACATAAAAATGTTTAAAAGATGGAAATTTTCTACTTTAAAAAAACTGAATCTTCTCAAATATTTTTTTCCAACCAACAAATAAGTAAATGCCATGCAAGTAGAGGACAAATAAGTAAGTGCCATGATAATAGAAACACCTCTAGCTATTACAAGCACTTATGGTCTAATAAAAAGTTGATTATGACGCAATAACTTCTACTACTACATGCATACAAAGTATTATGCAAATTAAACATCCTTGATAATTAATAATATTACACAATCTTAAAAATTCACTTTGAAAAGTTGGAATTGGGATAACTCCAGAATATAAATTCAGAGTAGAGACGGTGTCATATCCATTGGGAAATGGTTAGCAAGAACATTATCCATATAGTAATGTGGATGAGCAGCATCCATCACAACAAATTGCATATCTTCTGATGGTTTCCAATGCCTCTTTCTTTGGTTGATAAACCAGTTGTTTATTTGCTTCTGGTCCAATCCCGTTGATTCAGCTAGTGCAAGCTTCTGGGATTCCTGTTAACCAAAAATTATCGCGCAATATAATGTCACTCAGATTTTTGATAAATTAAACTCAAGGAGATCAAATTGGGGGGGAAAATAATAATTTAACTGTTACTTACTTTTAGATGTTGGTCCAAATAACCTGACGGTGTAAAATAACAATACATTGTCATCAATGTATATTAATATATAGACACATCACAACCTATCATGTCTTATAAGGCGAAAAACAATATAAGGTTTTAGAATGAAGTGATCACCCTAGTAGAGTAGAATTAATATGTATATATTGAGGTTATGACTGATTTATTTGACAATTTAGAAAAAGTAATACTTTAACTGTTCCAATTTAAGTGATATAGCTTGAATCAACAGAGTTTTAAGGGGGAAGAATGAAAACCAAGGAAAACTTTGGTAAAAAATATGGCATAGCATTTGTGTACCAATCATGTCGTAACATTTTGTTCTAAAAGCTTTGCCTTATGGGTGTAAATGGAAGTATATGGTTTAAGAGTGTCAATTCTTTTTGAACGGACTACCAAGGGAAGTGTGTCACATAAGATAAAACACGGAGTGAGGATCATACCGATGGATATGGCCATTTAATATGTCTAAGCCACCAGTCCACCAATTGTTGCCTTGCTTCCTTAGGCAGCTTGCCTTTCTTCCTCTTCTTCATGAACTCCTGCTTAAGGCTTCCCAAATACCCACTGTACTTGCGCAACAATTGACCTTTGAGCTCTCTATCCTCAGCCTGAGGGTCGATGAAACTGTTATTCACGTCAACCTCTTCATCAGATGATCCATTTCTATCCATTGCCTCGCCCAGAGCTACAACTTTAGGACATTAATTAGCATAAGCATTCTCCAAAAAAAAAAAAAAAGGAGCAACTATAGTTGAGAATAAGACTTGGCTTATAATTACATGATAGTAAAAATCAATAGATACTAGGATATGAGTTAAGCTTTGAGTATGAGTACTAAGGCTATGGTCCTCTAGGAAATTTCCTTTTTGACGGGACGTCCTCAAAAGTTACTTTAGATTAGCCAACACTACAGGCTAACATAAATCATTTTGCTCTAAGCATTTGGAAACTTCTTAGTAGTTTCTTACACGAGTACCAAAAGTATGCTAGTGTTATCACAATCAAAAAACAACAAAGGGATTCATAACTCACACTATATCTAGGCAGATAATACGAAGCTTATATATTTTATGAGAAACTTAATTTATTCACTGTAAACTTGATAACTATTACTATTTACCACTTATCAAACAAAACACTAGACAGTAACTATCCATGTTACAATTAAGTTAAAAAAGAGCTAATTTCTTCAGTAGTCTCGTAACTGCAAGCAGTTGAACCACTCACTTCTTTTAGACTCCTCAAGATTCAATTTCACAACTCAGTGGGTCCTTCAAGAACCCATCGGCTACCAAACAAATGTTGTCTTCTTTATCCCATTAAATACTCTATTAGAGTACCATAGACTATAACTTCACAAGTTTACTATGTTTGTCTATTATGTGATAAAGGGTCCAAGCAGAGAAATTTCCGTAGAACTTTAACTGAATAAGGAAGCACTTGTCAATAAGCATATGAACAAATGTACAATAAGATCAAACTAAGCAAGCAAGTGTTCACCAAGATGATTTGATGGAAATACACCGTTTACATAAATCAAGAAACATCAAAATGGTAGCTAAAAGTGAAGCAAGGAAGTTATAGTTTCCTTTTCACCATTTAAAGGTAATGTTAAATCCAATGATTTAAACAAAAGTATAACACATCAAGTAGGTTATATCATACACTCCAATCAAAGCTCCAAATCTAATCAAGAGTATTTTATGGGTCCCTCTAAAAACAAGGTGCATTTCTCAATCATTTGTCTTGTATCTTTCTATTCTTTTGAAGTGTCTAGAGAAGACATAAGGAGGGACCTCAAGGAATTATGTCAAAAATTGGAACTATTGTGTGATACCGCTAATCATTCAGCTGATCAAGGACTTTTTCACAGACCATATATGAAACTTCAGTGCTGGCAAAGATGGTTTGAAGATTTCAAAGTTAAACAAAAAAAGATTGAAATCCAAATATATACAAACTATTGCCATTAGATGAGAGTTCCTTTTTCGGTGTTCATCGACCTTATATACTGTAACATTTAAGCATTCGTAGTTATGAAGCATTTCCAAGACAACTAACTAATTCAGCACATCTTTCCAAATACCATTGATTTAAAATCATCAAAAACACTACTACTTAGCAACAACAATAGCTATAGAGAATGAATAGAGTAATATATAACAACCGTGAAAGAACGTTTTACACACATAGTGTAATTTAACATGTTATGAAGTATAAATTACTTAACATTTGTTTAATTAGGGGTTACAAATCAATACTATTAACCAGAGAAACATGTCATAGCCTTTTTCAAAACTCAAAAGTCTATTATTTTGTAATCTATCAAAGCATGAAAGTTAAACTCAACTAAAGAAATGAGAATAGCTTTGAGCAACAGAACACCCACACATAAATTGACTTCAAATGAAAGCTTTATAAAGTAATAATCTGCTCCTTACAACAACATACCAGTGTATCCGACGCGCCAAATCTGGGAAGGCTGGTTGGTACATAGGTATTACCCCCCCCCCTTCTTGACCTTCAGAATGTTTACAAAAGACCCTCGACTCAAGTAAATCAAACAATCTACTTCGTAGAGTGTGAAAAATAAAATCAAGGTAAATATAATTTTGAAAATCAAACTTCACCATCATGATATATGTGGCTTTGATTCAGAAAACTAGGGTTAGTATATTATTAAATCTGGACCAGGGTAATTCCAAATAAAGAAACAAGACAAGTTGAGTTTCTTCAACATACACAAACACAAGTTTGAAATGATTAACAAGGGACAAATATATCTTGCTGTTTACACTTACAACTTGTACCATACACAGATTATGAACATGTAGAACAAGAACCAAAACATGATGCATATTCATTGAGACAGAAACAAAACTAGTTAAAAAATCATTGTTACATACCAGAAGGTAAAGTAAAGTCATTTAAAATAGAAAATTAATAATCTGCATATGGAATTGAGCTTATTTTATTAGTAGTTATAATAATTAATTAATGACTGATATCATTGGAAACATGCACATGCAGAGGACATCAATTTAAAGAGAATAAACTCAAGTAAACAGTTAGGATCTGCATAGAATTAATGTGACCCATTTTAAGAAATGAAAAAAAAAAGAAGAAAAAATTGATATATATCTCACCAGATTCATGAGAAGAATTAGGTGCAAGTGTTAAAGCTTTGAACTGACACTCAATTCTTGAAAGAAAAACCATGGCTTCCTTGAAGGGTTTAGAGAGTTCTTGTTCATATTTTGTCAGCATCTCACAATAAGCCTCCATGAACTGATCTAGTGCAGGATCTTCTCCAATGATTCCACCACTACTACTGTTACGGCCCATTGTTGCTGACGTGGCACATATTTCCTCTAGCCTTGCCACCACTTCCGGCGGAGCTCCTATCTGCATATATATTTATGTTAAAAAAAAAACTAGGTTTTTCAGGTACAGTCCCTTTCATACATGTGATTTTGTTTTCAGCTTAAGTCTTTTCTTGCAGAGAGTCACTTTCAAGGTAGAAAAAATTCAAGAAATATTAAAACCCATGTCAAATATATGATCTTTTTCACTTGTATTTGGTTTTTCTTGAAATAAAAATGATTTTTTTTTGTTGTTGTAGTTGATGGGGATGTGAATTTCACCTTTTGACAACTGAGATAAGCAGACAAGAGACGAGGGTAGTGAGGATGAGCCATAATCTTTGACTTGATTGAAGAAGAGTTGTTGTCTTCCTGAGGATTATTGTTGTTGGTGTCCATGAAAGGAAGAAAAAGGATATTGTTATTGTTGTTGTTGCTGGTTTCTGCATTGTTATTGTTAGTTAGAGGAGGAGGAGGAGGAGGCATCATCATCATCATTTGAGGAGCACAAAGTGTTGCATTTCCATTCCCATTGTTGTTGTTTTCATGATCTCCATAGCCCATCATCATTAAACAAGATGTATTAGTATTTCCACTAGAACCACCTTCCATTATTCTTCCTCTCTCTCACACACACTTTCTTCTTGAGTCTAAATTTTGTTCCTTTCTATTTGTTTTTGCCTATGAAAACCATCTCTCTCTCTCTCTCTCACACACACACACAATAAAAAAGAAAGAAAAAAAAAAACTCTGTTTAATAGTAAATCTCTTTCTCTTTTTGGAGAGGGTGTGTGTGTAAGTGATCTCCCGAGTTTTATGCTTACTGATATCAGGCTTTTTCACAGCAAATCCTTAATGGAATACATAGTTAGCAATACTACTAGTCAGAAAAAAGCAAACACCCAATATTCCTTTTTTCTTTTTTCTTTTCCCCTCTTTTCTAAGTAAAAAATAATTAAGAAACAGTGTAGTGTTCCTTTTTTCTCTCTCTAGTCTAGCAAGAAGCAAAGAAGAGAGTTCCTATGAAAAACATGAAGATGTTAAAGGGTTAGCTTGTATTTGGGTGCAAAATTTTTACCTTCCCAATGAAAACTCATACCCCTTTTTTCTTCACTGCCACTGAAACACTGTCATTATCTGCCAATATCCCTCCACTCCACTCCACTCCACTCCTAGTGAGGTAAATTTAATTTTTATTTTTAGAATGATCAAATCGAGGTGCACTGTAATTTCTTCTGTGTTTTTATGTGTTTCTTTCTTGTTTCTTGGTTTTTGGGTTATTGGAAAACAGACGGAGTGAATCCCTTACCAGTATTATAACTTGAGACCTATTTGTCCCTTCATTGAATATGATTCTTTTTGCTTCTTCTTTCAACCACTAATTCAACTTTATCTCATTATTTTATATTTAAAATTAGTATGGTAAATTAACAAAAATCCTACTTTCAAGGATAAAACCTGAAGAAAACTATTTTTTTTCTTAGAGGGAGAGGGGGAAAAATTGGCACACAACAAAGGTGTGATATGAGTGGATATAGTATTGTAGAAAATTTTGAGATTCACTTCTTCAATAGATTAATATCCTGCTCCATAGTAGGTCTTAAATAGTCTTTGACTAATTCGATAAGTAAAAATAGTTAAAGAGATCAAACTTGTTAATATTTTGGATAGTTAAAGGATTAAATTTGAAAAATGTATATTTAAGAGACTCCATTTGAAACCTAATCTAATAGTTAAGAAACCATCAATGATATTTTCTCTAGATTTTAAAAAATATTATTTATTCATAAAACTTAAATCAATTTTTGAAAATTTACCTAAATTTGGATGAAATTTCACTTCACTTATAATTTATTTATTTTTAAAAAATCCAAGTAAAATACTTCACACATGATTTCAAATTTCAAAAACTACTTTTTCACACAACTTCAAAAATTGATATTTTCAAATTAAAATTATAATTTTATAAGCACTTTTAAATTAATTACTTAGATTGCTAATCACCTAAAAATCATAAATTTAAAATCAGACAAAATCGTAAGTTGGTCACCTTTAATGTATAAATTTTAGTTTATAACTATGTTAAATTTGATAAAATATTTCATCAATCAATTTGGGATAGACTCATTTCTTTACTTTAATTTGCACTTTTTGAGAAAGTTTTATCCCAATTTTTTTTTCTAATTTTCAAAATACTCTTTCCAAAATGTGATGCTAAATCCCTTCCATTCCATTTTCTGTCGTAATCTTTTCGTTGTGTATACATCTTAGTATTTATAATTTTTAAATAATAATTTTAAGGATATATTAATTATTTTAAGGGGAAATTTATTGATTAGATTTTCTATTAAATACATTTATTATTTATTATTATTATTATCCTTTTAGCATGTTATCGGAATACATAATTATCTTATTTATAAAATCAATTTTATAATCAAAAAAATATATCCTCACACATAATATAATATACTTATCAATAAATCAGCTAACTTAGTTCTTATATTAATGGAAGTCAGCAAATAGTTAAATAGAAGAATGATTGAAGTGTAGGTAATTTGACTTAAAATAGTGTTGTAGTAATATATTACTATAGTTTTTTTTTTTAAAAAAAAATCAGGTTAAAATTCTTGAACAAATGAAAAGGAAAAATAATAATTTGGAATAAAAATATTTGAAGAAAGATTTACCCTATCGGGATAGGGAACTATTTATAACTTTATTGTCTTTTTCTTGTTCTAGCTGTACATGAAAAATGAAATAAGAGATGATATTTGATGTATTTCATACTTCAATCGACAAATATATAATTTAGTTTCCTATTATTGACAAACAACACTCTTCATTCCCAGATATTCTGTTCATTTTATTTATATATATTTTTGGTGCCTTCAGTGCTATTATTATCTTATGGCATTTTCTTGGTTTGTGTATATTACTATAATCCCCACCTATTTCCATTTTAATGTAACTTGGACATTTTGCCTCACATTGTTTTTACTCTCTTTAATGGAAAATGCTACGTACCCCACCTCAAAAGAATCTTCAACCCAATATATATATATATATATATATATATATATATATATATATATATATATATATTATATTTAGTTTTTGAGGTCTTTAATTAGTCAGTACCCATCCTGTTCATCCAAATTATTGGTAGTAAATAGTAGTAAATTTTATGGAGATATTCAAATTACAATTTCTTTTGATGGAGTATTTAAATACTTGATAAAGTCTTTAGGTTAGATATTTTTAATTTTTAAAAAATGTACGTTTTCTCTAGTGCTCATTCATAAATAAATTAGTCATTTAAAATATGTCTTCTCATTTATCTATACACATTAACTTTTAATAAGTCATAAAATCTCATGCATATATTTCGATTTATGGGAGTTTGTAAAGACACGTAAATTTTTATAAAATATGAGTTGAATATAACTATATATATAGAGAGAGAGATAATACATACAATATACTAATTTATTTTGTACAAAGATGGGACGAACATCCTCCCGGCCCCGTCTATTTCCATCGCCAAGTGTTGAATCAATTGATATTTTATTCTGGTAAATTGCAAACCCAAAAATAAAGTGAAGTACATCAAGTGAGACAGAATAACGAAAATATTGAATTGAAGAGTAATATGTATCGAAATAAAAGCACGAGTTGTCTCCAATTAAATTTACAATTAAATGAAAAGGTGTCATCAGTCTTTCATCAATCCCATCTAACTCTCTAATTATTTCCTAAAAGAAAATTAAAGTGAAGTTTCAGCTTCAAAAAGCTGCTTATTTCGTGGGACACTACGAATGTCTCTTTTAACTTCTATTCCTCTCTCTAATTATTTTCTTTTCTACTACCTAGAGCTAGAGCTGTCAAAACGAGATGGTCCACTCCATCCGGATTAATATATACATATTTTGAAATTTGACGGGTTAGATCGGGCTAGCCCACTTTTTCTGTAAGCCAGAAAATGTTCGGTCCAGTCCACAAGTATGTTGGCTACGAGCTTTCCCGGGCCAGTCTTTTTTTCTTAAAAGTATATTTTTAAATTAAATTATAATTTTAAAATATTATCATAAATATCGACAAGACAATATTACATGGTATTAGTGTTACTACTTGTTAATCAAATACACAAATAGAATTATCTTTATAATATTTAGTAAGTTTGATTTCAAGTAAAAACATAAATAGCTAAACATAAATATTAACATAATTGTTTTCCAATGATCATAATATTCTATAGGCAATGACCTATGTAGTGATTCCCTAGAAATTTTAAGGAATTTTTATTTTATGTATTTTTATATTTTATAAACATAATTTGTATTTAAATTGTAATATTTCAAACTTTAAATCGATTTTGAGTTTAGACTCTTGTTATTTTTAATACTCTATTTTTTTTTATTTTCAATTAATTTTTATTTGGCCCACGGGCCGACCCTATCTATATTTCTCAAGCCCCACAAATCGACAAATTTATTCAGGCCGAGCTAAAAAACTTTTTTTCTTAAATGAGCTCAAAAAATTATAGCTCAGCCCTATCAAATCATGAGTAAGGGGCCAAGCAGGCCCAACGGGCCTAGCCCATATTGACGGCTCTACTACTACCCAAACAAAAACATTCTCTGATTGAGATTACTAATTAGCTTCTAATTAAGTTTGTACATTTGTATGATTGATTTGGTTTTCGATCGGTTGAAACATAAATAATTCTCTCTCCGTTTATTTCAATTTTGTCATATTTCGTTTCATAAAAATTACGTATTTGACTAATATTCAAAACTAAATTTAATATTAGATTCATTTCATATTTTAAATTAAAATAATTGAAAACTATGCAATTTTTTTATATATATATAAGTTGACATCCTTTCTCATATTAATAAGATAAAAAATAAACTTAAAGTGTCAATAAACATTTGAATAATTTAACTCTCAAAAGTCAAAAATAAAGTAGAAGTAAATATACGAAGGTGCAGAGAATAAAATCGAACGAAAAGAGAGAGGAAACCCCTATCAAATCTACTATATAGTGCAACCTTAAACCTTGAGGAATGCCAATACCCAATAGATGCTTATCGCTAGGTTTTAATTATAATATGATTTTGTTGATGACTATAAATAAATACTAGTACTTTCTTACTATATATATATATTTGTAGACAAAAAAAATGAGTAACAGTACTAGAGTATTTTCTGACATTTTTTTATGATCAAATATATATTATAAGGAGGTTTGCGTCATTTTAAATTCGAAATACATTATACACATTATTCTGCCTCAAATCATGGAAAACAATTTATAGCAAAAAATTATTTATTGCCATATTTTATTTACAATTGCAGTTAATTTTCATAACTTTAAAATTTGTTACACATAAATTTATTGACACGCCTAGTGAGAGCAAATTTATCTTCAAATGTGCAAAATCTTAACTCAAGTGTTAGGATTGCCTTATCACAATCAGTTGATTTTTCTCCAGAAAAAATGATTTTGACGAGTATAAAAATAAGGGAAAAAGGATAAATATACCTTCAAATTATCGTAAATGATATGCAAATACCCTCCGTATATTTTTGGGATATTGGTGCCTCTGCCGTCCAAAAACTAAAGCATATATACCCTTTATACTAACGGACATACACGTGTCATAATCTTATCCACCGATCCAACATTTATCGATGGATCAGATTGTGCCACGTGTCCCTATTTAGTCTTCTGTTAGAGTGAAAGGCATATATGCTCTAGTTTTTAGACGGCAGGGGAACCAATGTCCCAAAAGTATGACGGAGGGTATCTGCATATCATTTACGATAGTTCGAAGTATATTTATCATTTTCCCCTAAAAATAATAATTAACCAATTAGCATCAATGGTCTAGTGGCCAGCCTGGTAAAGCTATATCCTA